CTTGATTTGTCTCCATCATACTAATTTAAATTTGACCTTTTCCATTATTGGCAATGTTTCCATTCACTTTTTCTTTTAAAAGAGAATTTGTTTACTTATTTATTTGCGAGAGAGTGAGAGAGAGAGAGAGTTGTGCACGTTTAGGCATGTGGCTTATGATGAGTGGGGGAGGGGGGTGGGACAGGGGAGGGAGAGGAAGACGGAAAGAATTCCAAGTAAATTCTGAGCTGGGTACAGAGGCAGATGCGGGGCTCTATCTCAACACTGAGATCCTGATCTGGGCTGAAATTATGAGTTGGTCACTTAACCGACTGAGCCACACAGGTGCCCCCCCATTTACTTTTTACGAACTCCCCGATACATTCTCTAAATTATTCCCTTTCTCTTTAAAGTCCCAATCCCTCTCTCAGACTCTTTTGATTTGTTTTCTAGTTTAACAGAGAGATTTGAAGGTAACTGGTTTGGGCTAGCTCAGCATCCCATTCTTTCCTTGGACCTTCCTTTACTGTCAGAGAGAAAGCCCCTCTCATTTTCAGTGCTAGTTCCACCATTCTTATTCCTAATCTCAGCCTCTCCCCTCTTAGGGTAATTCTGAGAACCCTTGGAATAGGATACTAGGCATTTTTCTCTCTGACATCTTCAGACTTTGCTCACTAGTAGCCAATTTTGTCTTCATATGTATGTAGATTCACCTTGTCATCTCCTTCAAAACATTTATCTTGAGTCTTCTGTTTCTATTCCATTCCTTTCCTTTATCTGCCATATGCCTCATGATCTTATACTTGCCCCTATTCCTAATACCCTGCTCTTCAGCAATCCCATGAAATTAGATTTCTAACAGCCTATTCAATGAAAAATGCTCAGTACAAGTGTTCCAGGTGATTTTCTTCTAATAATATTCACCAGAATTTCCTCAATTCATTTTACACAACATTTTGCTTCATTTAAGACAGCTGATGGATTCATAAAACCCTTTGTCCTATGGTGTCCATGCACCTTCCATCCCTGACTAGGTACATCTGTTGATACTGTATTTAGACTTTTACCTTCTCAAAACTATATATCTCTATGCCTTCTGATATCACCAATTCTGATTCTCAAGTTAGTCAATCAACAATCTTCCTGATAAGTCTCCAGCTTATTATCAGATTCAGCATCCATTTATTTAACATTCTTTGCCACAGTCATTCCCATCTCTACAACTTAACTAATGTAGCAGAGCCCATGGGAATCCCTTCCCTGTGCCAATCTAAATCCAATGTACCCAGCCTTCACGCAAGGTCAGCTGAAGTCCTACCTCTTCATTAGACCTTTGCCAAGCAAAGCAATACATTAAAGTCCTTTGTCTAAAACTACATTAGACTTGGGGTCTACTTGACAAAATGGTTCTCCTAATTAACTCTAGTTACCTCAATTATGTAGGTCTTGTCAATGATCCCTCTGAAATCATGAACAATGAACATAAGTTTTAATTCCCTATTAGCCCAGCAGTGTATGCTGTGCATACAGAAGTGGCTTAAGGAACTTATTTAATCCCTTAATACTAAATAAATATTATTGAAACAGGTCATGATAGTACTATCATGGCATTAATAACTTCACTTTGAGTGAAACTAGGATTTTTTAATGAACTACTTAGAAGGCTACCAGCAGTATGACAGTATGACAGTATGATTAAGAGTACAAGCCCAGATGGCCTGGGTTCAAATTCTGCTTCTATCATCTATTGGCTAGGTGAGCTTGGGAAGGTTAATGAACATCTCTGTGCCTTAACTTCCCTCCCTTGAAAACAGGGGAATGTAACAGTACTTACCTAATGAAGATCAAATAATTTACGTCAGATACATAAGACAGTTTCTGGCATGTAGAAATTGTTCACGAATGTAAACTATTATTAATTGCTTTTTACACATAGCATGATAGTGTGTGTCCCATAGCTAAAAGAACCTTCACTTCATAAGTGAATGAGTTGAGGAATAAAGGTAAAATGACTGGCTCTGGTCTTATGGTTAATTAGAGGCAAACTCAGAAACCAACTCTTCTGAATTCTACCCAGTGTTTGCTTCTCTTCCCTAAGGATTTTATACCTGAACACAGAACTAAATTATAGAAGTTTAGAGTTGAAAGGGACATTCAAGCATCTTTACTTCAACTTTCTCATGAATGACCATACTGCATGATCACTTGTCAGAAACCTTTCATCTTTGGTGACAGTACCATTTCACAGATTCTTAATCACTCAGACAAAAAGATCCTAATAGAACTTGCACCATGGCTTTCAAGTTAGAAAACACAGGAGGGATAGAAATAGATGCCAAGGTCAGGTCCCTTGAGTTCACATGACTATCACTAGATGAAGCCATTTTTAATATCCATCTTTTGAAAAAATAATATTATTTCTTTTTAAGAGAAAACATTGTCTGGAATACTCATCATAAAGCTGCAATTCAAGTCATCCCACACATATGTGAATGTTTTGCAGATAATATGTTTCCTGGTAGGAATCTGAAATTATGATCTTGATGAACTCTGAACAACACGCTTTAGCAGCCAGAAAAAGGCACAGGTGCCAACTATCCATACTGGGCATAATTTCTGAAGGTTTCAACTTTCTATGTGCTTCTCTGGAACAACATTCAGCCTGGTTGTGCAATCAGCTGTGCTAGGGTTTTAAAATTCAATCTAGCAAATGCAGACTCTCAGGAGGAATTGCGACAATAAAAGATATTAAATAGACACAAATAAACATGTGTGTAAGGATTCTCTCATCAGATGCAATAGCCTGCTATTTTCCGTCTCAATTTGATGCTAAGAGGAGAGATTTAATTTCTCTTTAACACAAATGAAATTGTCATATGTAACAGCAGCAATAAGGGAGAAGTCTGAACTGACTAATTATATTAGATGTCCACAAAAATGTGCAGCCATTACCTACTCCCCTCCACCATGCAAACAAGACTTAGGTAATCCACATTCTCCGTGTATGATTATTTTAAAGACTTTATTTATTTGAGAGCAAGAGAGAGTGAGTGAGTGAGCCAGGGGAGAAGCAGAGGGAGAACAAGCAGACTGTGCTGAATGCAGAGCCCCATGTGGGGCTTGATGTGGGATCAATCTCATGGCTCTGAGATCATGACCTGAGCCAAAATTAAGAGTCAGATGCTCAACTGACTAAGCCACCCGGGTGCCCCAAGCTGCATATGATTACTTTAAATGCCTGATTGCAGTATATAGACTCTGAGTTTTATGACTTAGGATTTTAACCCCCAAGACAGGAAAGTCCTATTTCTTGAATCTGAAAGTTGAATTACTTTCTTTACACTTAAGACTGAACAGACAGCCTCTGCTGATCCCAGAGAGGATGCATCATTCCTGGTTTGTGCTTCCATAGTATTTTAGTTGTGTCTCTAATGTTACTCATGATAATCTGACTTCTTACACTTAGTTGTATGTTTCCTGTGTGGACTATAGACTCATGAGAATAGAATTCAAGTCTTATTTATTTCTGTTTCTCCCAGAGCCTTATAGTGTCTTGGATACAGAGCTGCTCAATAAATCTTTTGATATTTGGCTTCAATGAACATTTATTAAGCATTTCTCATTTATAAAGTATTATCAATTGATTCCCACCTTTGATATACTTTATCCTTCCCATTTCTGAGAACTTTTGCTTTTGAAACATGAAAAAAAAAACAACTTTAGCAGATCGATGCTATAATTTAGATGGCTAAATAAACCATCTGACCCTAGGGAATGCCTATCAATTCTTTGTTGAATTGTAATTTTATGAAAATTTGCAGAGGTTTCTTTTGAGCTTACAGTTGTTTAAGGGGACCCAGCTACTTCAATGTGGCAGAGTTAAGGAAAGAACTTGGAGAAATGACTGCGAGGGTATCCCAGAAATACTGTTGTACCTTCTAGAAGAAGGACCCAGGAACCAAGTCCCAACTCCAGGACCCTCTAAGTCTAATAGGATCATGGCATTCTGAAGGCCTATTATTCCTCCTTGACAGTTTCTCTGAGAAACTGTCAGTGTGATTTTCAAAAAACATTTGGTTCATGCCCACAGGTTGGGTGGCTATATGATCTGTAGGGCCCAGGAGAAAATAAAAATGGGAGCCCCTTGTTAAAAAGTTAAGAATTTCAAGACAATGGCAGCAGAACATTAAGGCAGTTCTGGGCTCTTCTATGCACAGGGCCCTGTGTGACTACACAGGTCTCACATCTATGGAGCCAGCCCTGTTCTGTCTTCAGAGAATTTTCAGTACAGTGAAAGGCAAAAAATCTGTATGGAATAGAAGCCACAATTTAAGCGTGTACAAGGGTCTGCCGGAATGCCAAAGTTCCTAACTTGGTAAAATCATCCCAGAGAAGGTGACAGTTAAGCTCTGTTTTGAGGGAGCAGTGGCAGAGAAAGGAGATATTCCTGTCTGAAAAAGGCAGAATTCACTTAACAAGTTTCAGTAATAGGGTTACCTCTAAGGAGAGTGGAGCAAGTGAACATGAGGGTGACATAATTAAGACTGAGAGTGGAATGAGACAAAAGCCAAGTGTATGGGGTAAGGCGTTGAACAATTATTGAGTGCCTATTGTATGTCAACTTATTTCTCCCTGTGTCATAATTTTTAAAAACACAACGATCCTGCCTATTTTACAAATGGGCTAGTTTAGGCCCAAGGTAGTAATGTTCAAACGGTCTGGAGCACACTTGACTTCCAGTAAATATTTGAGGACTGTCTGGCAAGACGTATCTTAAGGGCCAGGATTCTTAACCATTAGGCCAGGCTGATTCTAAGTGGGCTTTTATTTTTTATTTATTATTATTTTTAAATTTAAATTCAATTAGCTAAGGTGAATGCACTTTTAACCGCCCCCCCCCCACCTCTCCTTGCCACACCTCTTCACAGTCCAAAGGTACTTTTCCCTCCCTCCGCTCCGCCCCGCCCCGTGTTTCAACGTGCCGGAAATTGGGCCGCTAAGTACTTCCGGTGTAGCAAAGGTCGACCCCGGCAAGATGGCGGCCCCCTTGGAGCTCAGTTGCTGGGGAGGTGGCTGGGGGCTCCCATCGGTGCACAGCGAGTCCTTGGTGGTGATGGTGAGGCCGCCTCGCGGGCCAGGGCGCAGGAAAGATGGGCGGGGCCAGAGGCGCGAGGCTGGCTGGGTCTGGTCTCCGCGGCTCGCCGCGGTTCCCTGCGGCGCTGCAGGGCCGAGAGTGGCCGGGGAGCTTCTCGCTGCACTGCACTGGGTTCCTTACCCTGGAGTCACAGCCTGGCCTGTGACCCCGCCAAGGCCTGGCGGAAGAGTCATGGCTTTCCTACTTGGCTCCGAGTCTTCTCAGCCTTGCAGAGCTTTCTGGGCGGTGGAATGAAAAGCCAAAGCTGGGTGCACGCGCGCCCAGCTCTGCACCCCCCGACCTTTGGGGGACCTTTGGGGGGACAGAGTCCCCGAAAGATGGGCAGCTGACGCTCTGCTAGACAGCCGGAGAGGAACACAGCCCGCGTGTCAGGCGTTTCTGCCTTAGGGGGACCAGGCTGTAAAGTTGCTCTGTAGATTTGCGCTACGTACTCAAGCCTAATGTTTTATTGCAAACTTTGTTTCAGGCTTATGCCAAATTTTCTGGTGCACCCTTGAAAGTCAATGTCATAGATAACACCTGGAGAGGTTCAAGAGGTACAGTGTAAACATTTTAATACACTTTCCTGCTGTTTTTGAAATTACTCCCCCTTCCTCGATGAATTTAAACCTGTGAGGCATGCAGCCATGGAATACCTTGGGGTTTAGTTTCTTCTTACGATGACCTTGGCTGTGTGTTGCTTATGGTTTAATCATTCTGAGTAATACTTTAAAATATAAGCGAGATCAATGGAAATTACGAGAAATGACAGTGTTCTCCAAAACTGCATTGTGAAATTGCAAAAAACTAAGATGAGCGTACTCATTTTCCCCCTCCAAATGCAGCTGTAGTTTTTAGGGGACCAGAATCCCTTCAGAGGAAGTAGAAACATTTCCTTGTATGTGAACTGTTTTTGGTTATAGGAGATGTACCAATTTTGACAACTGAAGACAACATTGTTTCTCAGCCTGCAAAAATACTAAACTTTTTAAGAAAACAGGTGGGTGGTTCATTTTTAACATGTTCCCTGCATGTTACTTAAAAACAACAAAAATAAAAACATTGTAAAGTTTTTTTTTAATTTTTTTAAATCAAATCAGTAGATAATTGGAGATACCTCAGGTTTGGTATAAAAGTGGACTTGAGAATTACTGCTCTGAATCACGAGTTGTATTGTGATATGAAAGTTATATAGTGAAGTACACTCAATTTATATTTTCATATACTATTCTGGATTTAAGTTTAGACATAAGCAGATTCAATGAAGCCATCTTCACGATTACACTTACTGATACGATTGTCAATTTAGTCACAAGCTGCTACACACTTTCTGCTGCATATGACATCTGAGTTCCCACCAGCTAGCAACTATTTTATTTTTAAAGAACACTTAACTGGAGAGTTGCAATTAAATGTTTCATGAAGTAATGTATCTAAAATGGGCAAGCATGTAAAGATTTGTATAATGTATCCAGAATATTTAAACATGTAAAGACTTCTATAAATACCAAAGTTATAATTGGTTTTGACAATACTTTTCTTAAAAAAGTCAGTCCTATGTCAACAAAATTTAGAACTGTTTTAAATTGGGGGGTTTTCTTTCTTTTCTCATGGGGAAAAATGCATCCAATTAGAACTTCTTCCTTATTGTTAAAAATAATAGCTTCTATTTATTAAGTTTGCACTATATGGCAAGCATTAACAAAACTTAGGTCATAAATAATCATTAAATAATAGCAGTTAAAAAAAAAAAACAATATTTATTGACCTTACCGTGTGTGTGATGTTGTGCTAAGAACTTTATTTGCATCAAGCTGCATTTGTCACTGATTTTGTATTTATCGTTCTGCCTTTTAATATCATACTTGCCATTTTTGAGGAAGAATATTATTTAGCTTCCCTGTTTTCGGATGCCCTTGACTTCTCAAGTTTTTTTGGTTGTATGTTTTCTAATAGAAATATAATGCTGATTATGAACTCTCAGCAAAACAGGGGGCAGATACCCTGGCTTACATTGCTCTCATCGAAGAGAAGCTTCTTCCTGCAGTGGTGAGCATTGGTATTGTAGTGAACTACTAAAAATATACTTCAGTCTATTTAGAAGGAGCATAGTGAAAAAGGCTTAAGAGAGGAAGTTTCATGTATGTATTCATCTTGATTCTATGTTACTGTGCAACTGGATTGTTAGACATTCAACTAGGACATGAAACAATGAAGTGAAAGATAATGTCATTTTGGAAATAAATTTATTTATGGAAGATGGAGCTTGTTGCTCCCAAGTATAGAATTCAGCTAAGTATAACTCATTCAACAAATATTTATTGAGCGGATATATGCCAGGCCTTGTTCTGGGTGCGTGGGATACAGCAATCAACAGATACATGTGTTTAAAATCTTGTTTTATACTTGAGTCATTCAAGTTGGGAAAGTTGGATGAAGCTACTTTAGACAAAGATGTTTATCAAAAACTTTCATTTGATCAGATGACCTTTCTTTTAATAAAAGAACATGCTTGTAGTGGGTTTGTTTTTGGTTTTGTTCTGGTTTTTTGATTGGAGGGGGTTGTTTGTTTTTTGTTTTTGTTTTGTTTGGTTTTGGTTTTTAGTTGTTTTTGTTTGTTTTGCAGCTTCACACATTCTGGGTTGACAGTGACAATTACTTTACTGTGACAAAGCCATGGTTTGCTTCACGAATTCCTTTTCCCTTGAGTTTGATTCTGCCTGGAAGGATGTCTAAGGGAGCACTAAATAGAATTCTTCTGACCAGAGGAGAGCCTCCTCTCTACCACCTCCGAGAAGTGGAAGCTCAGGTATGGTTGGCATTACTTTCAAAGCAAGGGACCTCCAGAGGAGGAACACGAGAAGCAGCAGAGATGAAAGTACCTAAATGCTTGCCTAAAAGGAGTTCTAGAGCGTCCTTCCTACTTTTGAATTGTTATTTTATCCTTATTAGATATACAGAGATGCCAAGGAGTGCCTAAATCTTCTGTCAAACAGATTGGGAACATCTCAGTTTTTCTTTGGAGATACGTGAGTGCATTCCCTTCAAAGTCATTCTGATGTTTTGTATGCATGTAGTCAATAAAGAGTTACCTAAAGCAAGTCCTCTTGCCCCCCCTTTATGAGTTTTTTACTTTAAGAAAAAGATTTAATGGATTATTCTAGTGAACTTTTTCTGTCCATGGTAATCAAACATTGACTCCATATGCTTGCTATCTGTGTGAATTTAAAATATCTAAGGCTCCTATCTAAAATATCTCCTAAAATATCTCTGTCTCCTATCTGTACGTAACACTTGTGAATAAACATGCATCTTTAATTTATAACTTTTCTTCTAAATAAAATAAATGGTTACAGTATTAAAAAAAACTACTGAATATAACCCTCATTCATTGCATCATTTTCATAAGCAAAAATATGTAGTAAACCTTTTAAAAGGCTATATTATATACCCCAGAATTGGCAGATGGATTTGAGAAAAAATATTTTTAACATAATCCCAAGTTAGTATTTTCCTATGTGTTTTTTAAAAAATCCTTAATTTATTTTTAGGCCATCTACCTTGGATGCCTATGTGTTTGGTTTCCTCGCGCCACTTTATAAAGTACGCTTTCCTAAAGTTCAGTTACAAGAACATCTGAAACAGCTCTCCAACCTGTGCCGCTTTTGTGATGACATCCTAAATAGTTATTTTAGGCTTAGTCTTGGAGGTAAGCTGGCCCCTCTTCAGCTAATCTGTGTTTGTGTAGAATATCTGCATATTTTCCAATGGACGTATAAGCAAAATTCATGACTTATTGAAGAAATTTGTGTATTGTCTTTAAATGTTGAATTGTAGCACTTAAAACAGTTGCATTTTTCCGAATTTATTCCCATGTGTTAGTTCTACTTTAAATAGAGAAATAGATGTTTGCCTTTTGTCTGTTCTTCTAGATTTTATACATTTCTTGCCTCTTGTTCTTCTTTAAAAATTGCCCCTTTGAAGTGGATCATTTTCTTCTAAAAGTTAACCACAGGTATTTATTGAAAGATAGCTGCTGAAAGATAGCATTTATCCTAACACAAATGGGCAATTATTTTAAATGTTGCTTCTAGCGTTTTCCTGCGTGAACAGAAATCAGCAGCAGATTGATTTGGGGGAGGTACACTCCCATGATTCCACTACTTGAAAACTGATTGCATCAGACTGGAGGTATTGTAAATAGAGGGTACCCGTCACTTAGGATATGGTTCCTTGGGAGTGTGGAACCTTGTGCTTAAGTGATCAGGATATGAGATTTGTATTGGGAGAGTTGGCAGAAACTGTCCTTTTAAAGAAACAGAAGTTGCAAGGGTAACTGGCTTAGGGACAGTTTGTTTTTCAGGGTGGGTTTTGTGTTTGGTAGAGAGCGAGGGGTTAGCAGTTTGAGAGTCATGAAACTAAGTACCGTTCAGCCTTGTTACTCTGGGACAGTGATTAGCAAACCTGGCTAGAGGACAAATACAGAATTTTGGCTCCTTTGTCAGATTTACTAAATTAGCATCTCACAGGCATGGAGCCCAGGAATCTGTATTTTTTTAAGTCCCTCCAAATACTGGGAATGCCTGGTTGGGGGCCATTTCGGAGTCGCTGCCTTAGAATGCTGTCCCAGTCGTTGTGACTAAAGGCTTATTTGGTATGAGTGGGGAAAAGGTACAACTCAAATTTGAGAAGGCTATGAGGACTGCTGTGCTCTTTGACTAACTACACTTGCTAACTGCATAACACTTGGCTGTCTACTTAATAGACTAATTTAGTCTTTTTGTTTAGGGTTTGGTTTGGGAGCATTACTGTCTCTTTTAACTTTGCCTTTAAACCCATAATCATTTTTCATTTTGCCTGGTTTATTTATTTTTTTTGGAGGGTGGCATACTTGGGAGGGTGGAGAGACTCAAAATTCTTTCAGTCTAAACAGCTTTAAAGACTTTCAAAATTTTCTTTCTGATTTCTGTCCTGGCTTCTTAGGCATCTCTCCTGCTGGACAAGAAACAGTAGATGCAAATCTGCAGAAACTCACACAACTTGTAAATAAGGAATCCAACTTGATTGAAAAGGTCAAGTTTATTTCAACCATTATTTTATAGTAGTTTAGTATTTTCCTTCCTGAAATTAATATTGTGTAAGAGTTTATTTTTTTCATAAAGCTGCTCAAATATACATTTATTAAAGTTGTACATAATACAATGTTTTGAAGCCAGTAGTGGCCTGATTACTTTGATAGTGGTATTGGGTTTACTTTTACCACATAATTAGTGATTTTTCAAATTAGGAGACCCAAAAGCCTGGTCTTAAAAAAAAAAAAGACAAAACTAAAACACTTCTTTGCTTGTCTGTTTCTTTCTCTGAAGGATAATACTTCTTGAGATCATAAGCACCTGTGCTTGTCCTTTCTGAATAGCACTATGATGTCTTTTTCTTTCTTCTACTTAAACTGTGTTATTTTTTTTCTCCTTCCTTTCCTTCTCTGTTCTTAATGTCGCTTATGGTTTTTGGTGGTGGTGTTTTTTTTTTATCAGTGGGCATATTTTGCCACTTTGGGTTTGCTCATTTGATAAGAGAGATATTGAGGAAGTACATAGGGGAGATAGCCAGTAATGGAAATTTCAAAGGTGATTCTAGTTGAAAAAATACAAAAGACTTACGCATTTTCCCCCCAAATGTCTGATGAACTTGCTTTTTTTCTTATACCAGTGAATGATACTTCCCTTTTTCACTAACCAGTGAGGCACTCTGGCCTGATAGCACTGGCCCTCAGTTCCTGAGGTCTCAGTAACAGCACCGTGTTGTGTGAGCTTTTGAGTTGTCTCCCTAGTCCTCACAGCAGCTCTATGTGCGCAGCTACTCCATCAGGCCTGTTTTACAGATGAGGACAGTGACGCTTAGAGAGTAGTATATGTCACCTACCTAAAGTCATTCAGCTGGCTAGAAGCAGAGAGGGAATTTGAACTCTGGAGACTGGATTCCAGCATGGGCTCTGTAGTTAGTCAGCTGCAAATGAAGGAGATACATGGAACTCTGAATCCAGTACTAGTAGTACTAGTATCCAGAAACCTCTGCCTCTCTCTGGCATGACCATTCTGTTTCTTCTTACAGTATTTCATGTGTTGTTAGAACATGAGTAGTGAGTAGAACTGAGCAGAAAAATTGTAAAAGACCAGTACTAAAGTTTAGGTGGGCTGACTGCACGCCAAGTTTATCTTCTTAGCCCAACTCAGTCAATCCCGTGAGAGGAAATATGCTGAGTGTTTAAGTGTGGGTCATAGAAAGATTATGCAGATTGTTTTAGACACTTAACTGCTAGATAGGGGCCATCCAGTAGAGTTTTCATTTTCTCTGTGTGGCAAATTCATGACAGCCATGTAGAGGGAACCACGAGATATCTACCTGTGCGGAAAGGGCACCCAGGAGGCACCCAGTTGTATCACTTGGTACACTTCTATCTTGGGTCATCATCAATATATGAAAGCTTCCTAACTCTAAGTCAGGCACTCTGCTGTCCACCTGTTTCACATCTGCTCTCAGTGTGGTTCACTGTTGACTACCGGTGTTAGAACAACAAACCTATTGGCTACCATTGTTCACCATTTGGACAGAAAATCTAGAGCTTAAAAAAAGAAAGAGTAATATTTGAGGGACTTAATTCTTGTAAGAAAAAAGCCTGAAAACACAATTGATTCAAGGCGTTCACCAGGGATACTTTTTTCTATTGGAAAATTGAAAGTTAATCTTTTATTCTCTTTGCTTTCCTGTAAGTTGCATGTACCTCTATTGAGACATTTCTTCTGTGCTTTGTAAGAGCATCTGGAGGAGAGAAGAGAGAGTTTTGCTCTGCACATGCTCAAAACTCTAGAAAAGCCTACTTAGCAAGTGGGTAATCAGATGCTCTATGCTGTCGGTTTGGGATCCTTGGGAGCAACAGCTTTCAAGTCTCCTGAAGTTGAGCTGACAGAGAGCTCAACAGCAGGTTCTGAACCTAGCACTCTATTCCTAGGGCCCCTGCTTAAAGCTAGCTTTCTGAGGTCTGACTCAGTGTTCCAGGGATGCTAAAATCCTCCTGAGGGGCGCACAGGTCATTTTCACTGAGGCACTGAGGTCTAGTTGAAAGAACAGTAGTATTGGAATAAGAAGACCTGGGCTCTAGTTTCAGCTCATGATGCTAGCTTTGCAGTCTAATGCAAATCTCTTAACCTTTCTGAGCTCTGTTTTGCTAATGTGCAGAATAGGGAATGATCATCTTCCATTTTGCCTTCCCAGCTGTGTTGGCAAGATCAAAGAGGTATTGTACGTGAACATGATTTGTAAACTGGGGAGCTCCATGTGTGAGAAGTATTGCTTTTACACTTATTATCGTAAGATCTCTTAAATCAAGTTGTGATCTGGTTGAGTTCATTTTATGAAATTACTATAATTTGTGAAGGCATCAAAGACGAGCAACATAGCTTTTATACATATACTGAGTTAGCTGGTATTTGGGGTACATTTCAAATTCTTGAGTGAGTATTTGTAAGGAAAAGGTTTCTCAGGCAGTTCTGGAACCATATGGTTCTATACTCTTCTAGGATATGGTTTGGGTTGGGAGACCATAGTCCACACAAGTGGTGCCACCGCCATTAGTCAGATGTATCTTTTGTACGTTCCACAGATGGATGACAATCTTCGCCAAAGCCCTCAGCTTCCTCCTCGGAAACTGCCAACACTTAAATTGACTCCAGCAGAAGAAGAAAGTAATTCCTTACAACGGCTATCGCCCTGACAGCCCTCATGCTTTGTGTCCAAAGTCATGTGATTGTTGCAGTCATCTCTTACACTACTTATGTGAAGGCAAACAGAAAATGCCATTAGTAGGTATAAGGAAGGCTCTAAAAAGAAACTTTCTCTGACATCTAGTTTTTCTTAATTAGGAAGCTTGTATTTTAGCTTCGCAGTGCACTTTAGATAACATCAGAATGAATGCTAAATGAACTTGGGGAAAAAAGAAAACACACTGTACTGTATATTTAAACAACAACAACCTGCCTTAATCTTGGCAGATTTTTGCCTTTAGTTCACATGTTGCTGACCAAAACATACAATTCTGTTCTGAATGTGTGCTCTTATTTATTCAAGTTAATTTATTAATCTAGTTTTCTTAGAACAGTTTGAATATCTAATACGTGGCTTTTTGAGGCTTTTTTTTTCTTCTGTTTAGAAATTTTGATGCCAATTTTAGACGTTAGGGGAAAATGTAATATTCTCATATTCTATTTACTTCAGTAGAAAAGCCTGTATTTAAAAAGCAACGAGGAATGTGCTTTTTAATTATGTTCTCAGAAGTATAATCTTCTGGGCGATCAGTACTACACACACACACATATATATGTCTGAGAAATATATATGTATCACAGGTGGTTATATATAATATTCATCTGACTGTATGCACTTCAATAGAACATTGGTATTTGCTGATGTGTTCAGTTAAGGTTAGCAAGGATTCTTTTAGTTTATTGGACCAGTGGCAGCTTTAGACATATGTATTTGTAGTACATTTTTAACTCAAGTTCTCTCTTTCTTGGATTAATTTCAGGGGAACTGAGTATATTGGTCATCATTTATTATGCTAGGCTGTAAAGTCTTACTGAAAGTTGCCCAATTGTCAGACACTACTCTGCTAGAGTGACAGAAGTACCTACTGTGTGCTTGGTCCAAGTTCATCATGCTTGAACCAGTGTTCTTTTCATAAGACAACTGTCACATAGTCAAAAGCTTTATGGCAACTTATTATTTTCCATATAGTTGAACTACAGTTGAAGCATCTAATGGGATATTTGGAAACAGCGGTAGTTTTTAAAGAGTATTTTCTATTTATTGGTTGCCGACCTGTTAAAGGATTTGCTGTGCAGGTGATTTTCCTTATAACAGAATCTAATTTTAGTGGCTGAGGTGCTTCTGTTGTCCTAAAACCACTTCTGGTGTTTTTAAAATATAGGATCATGTTTTTGATTAGTGTCTCAAAAGATTACTCTGGTGCTCAGCAAATCTTACCACGTCGTGCAGAACCCCTCATGTTAAGAAAACAGCTCTGTAGTCAAGAGACTCGACTAATTGGAGCTGAATGGAGTTCAGCTGTGTTTGACCTAAATCCTCCCAGTTTGCTCTGTATTTAGGTAGCTCTTGATGTAGGAGTCTATAAGTCATTGTAAATATTTTTTCTTCAAAGTTTTAATTAAATGAGAAACAAGGTAGTCTTCAAAATCTTATCTGTTTGGATGTATTTAGGGAAAGTAACTAATGAGTTTCACATTACTTCTGCAATGGGTTTGTGTGCTTTGTATTAATTTTGTATTAGATTCCCGCAATCCAAAATCCGTATGAATATTCTATATTGAAAATCATGACCATAGGACTTACCGTCCTCTGGGATTGATGTATATTGGAGAAAGGTGGTTAACACATTAATCAGACAGTCTGTTTATGCTTTAGTTAGGGTTGGTCTTTTTCAGTTGTGATTTATGTTAAGCCTTCAAAGAAGCATTTGAAGTGGCTTAAAATTGTCAATGTACGTAGAACAGGACAATTAAAATTAGGTTTGGGAAAAATGAAAAATTGGGAAGAAAGAGCTATATCAACCCTAACAGATTCTAAAATCAAATGGTAAATTTAACTCCCAAGTTTCTCCATGGGCACAAAGATAATACTGGCTTATGTAGAGTTTTCTGGGAGTAAAACTACTAATATCCATGCTAAGGATAGTGTGTTTAAATTTTTATAAGAATGTAGAGATCGTGTTCTTACGTCACAGAATTCAGCCAATAAACATACTGTAACATTTCATGTTTTGAAAGTTTAATGAGAAGATAGCATTCTAGAATAACATGTATTTGTCATTTTTTAGTACAAAAGACAGCTGTAAATATGATTTACTTCCTTTTGGTCATTCCTGCTTTGAATTGCCTTTAGACTGGCAGTACATAGGCTAGGATGTTTCCAGACTACCTTTCCTAAGATGCAAAATGTGATTTAGATAAGTGAGAATTTATACGTTGGGATTCTTAGTTGAGCATTTTGAGGATAAGCCAGCAAGATGGCAGGAAGCTTTAACTGAGTATAAAGCATTCCAGGGATGAGCCGTGCATCGAAGAAGCTCTTAGAAAGAAACAACTTTTCCAGATTGGCCAGAGAGCTTGTGACCAGCCTGTCAGGATACGTTCTGGATAAAGTTTCAGTTGCTGAGGTAAATGGTACACAGTGTTTAACAAAATACTGTGAGCTACATTCTTGAGGACGTGATGGTGGAATATGACCAAAGGGACTGTGTTTGTGTTTATTTTTGTTGGTAGTATAGGATTAGAAAACCAGTCAGATAATTCCCATAAGATAAAGATCTTCCATCAGCGGACGGCCACCGGTCATCCATAAGATTGATCGTTTCTTTGAACACTAAAGACACTCTAAAAAGCATTGAGGATTGTCATTCCTTCACCATGGTTATTTTCCCCTGCAAAGATTGGCAACGATGAATTTCAGCTTAGGGTTGTTTGTATTATTTTGGGAGTACTAGAGAATTCAAGAGTTTTACAACAAATCCAAAGCATTTTGATTTGCATTTGTAATTTCTATTCATTTAATATTGCTAGATTTATTAATGTGAAGGAATCAGGGAGCTTATTTCAAACACAGCTAAGTTGCAGTTTTCAGAAGTCTACAAAAATGGAAAGAAACTAGACATCAAAAGAGGCAGAAACGTATCAATGATACAATCTCAGAAAACCAATTTTTTAAGGTGCCTTCATGTGATAATAGTGGTATTTAAAGTCAGGAGTCAGGAGTATGTTTTCTCAGAATCAAAAGCATACAGAAATTATTTGTCCCAGATGAAGAGGCCAGTGATTATGGATGAGAATTAACATTCTTGAATAATGGTATGAGAAAGTATACTTTGAGCTGGACATTTGTAGAGAGGGGAATGTTGTGATAGAAGAATATTCTTAGCAAAACAAAGCAGTTTCTTTAAAAAAAAAAAATGACAGGAAAACAAGTCATTTTGTATCCTGCTTATTATTAATGTGAAATTATACCATAAGATTTTTTAAAAACCATCTTTTAGTTCCCTGGAGAAGAAGGTGTGTTTTGGCAGATTATCTTGTTATTATGTGACTAGAGGGTTCTGTGGCCAAATAAGTTTGGGAAATTCTCTGTTACTATAGGCTTTTCTGAACCTTTGTGTGGTTTCAGTTTCTGAGAAGGGCCTATCTTGTATGCACTGTTTCCCTGATTTATTGTATAGGGTTTGTTTTTTGTTTTGTGGGTTTTGTTTTGTTTTCTTTACAATAGGTATCATCTGGGATTTTTATTCTGAGAAATATACTTAGGGAAGCACTGCCCTGGAGTGGTTTTGCTTGTTGGTGCTAATTGCAAAGGTTTCCTGTTGTCGGGTGCCCCTCTAGTGAGTGGTGATCAAAAATGGGAAGATAGGTTAGGACTCCCTTGGACCATGCAGTTGAAGGGAGGGGGAGCATGGGTTTAAACAGTTTAAGGCTCCTTTAACAGATTTAGGCTCCTTTGAGGCCCCTGGTCAGTTAGTCCCTTTCCCTAGAATCCCAGCTGTCTTGGAACAGCTGTGCAGGGACGTGACCAGGTGGCTCCAGAGAACTCAGCAGCATTTAGGAATCTCTGAGACAGTGGGGGCCAACTTGCAATTCTGGAACAAATTTTCAGATCATTTTTGGCTGTGCTTTAAAAGTGCCAAAAAGGTGATAGGATTTATAGCATTAAAGTCATATATAAGCTGCTGCTTTTATGCATATTTAAATATATATACATGTATATGCGCATATAGATGCACACACTGTTGTAGAAAGTTTACAATTGCTTCAATGACAAAGCAAAATAAATTTAATATTTTCAAGTTCTATTCTAGTCTGAAGCCATGTTCTAAACAAGGATTGTATGTTTGTGTGTACATTTTCTAGAATAAGGGTTTACAGTTTTCATTAAATTCTAGGGGCTTTGATATCCTAAAAACTTTAAACATCACTAGACCTCCAAATTTCAGAGGACCAAGTGTATTTGATTTCGTCTCAAAGTATAAAACTGGATCGCCAATCAGGCGTACGGATGCTCTTCGTTTCTTCTCTGCAGAGTGTACAGCTGCCTATTGGAACTTCACCGTTTGGATGTGTATTTGATAGAAAGCTCGCCTTTGGTCTTTGCATTGTGTAATGGTGAATATCTAGCCATGTGAAAAGCAGTTGGGTCTTTGCTGTGATTCTTTAGTTTTCCTCATGCAAATTCAGAGAATTGCCTTTTCATCATTTACTTCACGTATCCCGGATTCTTGGAAACCAAGAGAAATGACTTGCTAGAGTTTGCATCAGTCCTCAGCAAGTCATGCACTCTACAGAGGGCCGGGCTCGCTCCTCGTTCTTTGGACTGCTGGCTCCTTCGCCTGCAATGCTGGGGTCTCTTCATCAGAGAAGGAAGGCTGTACCCAGGCTTTTATGTTAATTTCATGAAGATGAGCTTTATTCCTCTTCTGACTTGATGTTTTAGTTTGTATAATAGGAAATTACATGTTTCCATTTTTCTGTGCATCTTGAAATGGAAATTGGAGGTGTTTCTAATGTCGCTTTGGCTTTCTAGAAGATGGAGCACAAAGAAGATTAAGAAATACATGTGTACATATATTGGTTTTGTTCCACCAACCTTTGGTAAATATTTTAAACATCTCTACTGGTGTACAAATACTATAGTTTTGTTGTAAACATCTTAAAGCAATGTTGGTCATAATTGAAATATTCTGGTCATGCCTAGTGTGAATATATTTCACTCAGAGATTATGTATAAATACCCAGAAGTGGTAGTGATGGTCAATGTTGTAAAGAATTTATTCTGATAAGTGAGAAACTGGATATAATGTCAAAATAGCTATTTTCACAATAAAATCTCAAATTGCCTGAATATTTATTAATTTCGTATTTAATGTTATTTATTCCCTGAGGTAAATATTTTCACTGGGAGGAATTTTTCAGCCATTGAAAGTGGTTATCCAGTGCTGGGAGTGAACTCGATAGGAGGCTGTTCTTTAGAAAATGTTTATTCTTTCTATGGTGAGTTGAGATCCCTTGTGCTCTTTTTACCCCATGCTGAGCCAGGTTAGAGGCCGCCTTGCTCAGGCGCCGGTATGTGAATGACTCAGCTCACACAATTTTTCAGGGCTACAGTTGGCTCATCCCTTTGGCCCTACAAATTTCTTTTAAATTTTCCCTTTTGCCCGCCTAGACAGTCCAGCAATATTCCATGTAACTGAATGGAAGGCATACACTGAGGAAAATGCAGTTTTAGTGAGGGGCTGGGGTGCATGTGATGG